GACGGACTACAGGCCCCGGCGTGCTGAATGATACGGTAAACTCCGAAAATCAGCCCTCATCCCGCGGTCCTTTTACTACGCGACCAAAATATCCTTTCATGGTGGCATATCAATTTATATATCTGATTGCAGAGCACTTGTAAACGCACTTAAACTTGGGCACCCCATACATATATTGCTCTTCTTAAAGACCGCTTTACCACCCAAAATATCTTGTCTGGAAAAACAAGCTAGATCTAGAAAGTAAACCCTTCTTTAATTTGGAATTGGGAAACAAATTACCAGAGTTTCAAACTGAGACCTTATCCCACTGACCCCTTGGACGCAGCGACGGACTTTGGGATTTTGTTGGAGATATTGTCACGACCCCGGTAATGCTTCCTACCAGAAGTATTTGAGGCAGTACTATAGATAAAACCAGAAAACTAATCCCCGAGTAGAAGTCATATCCACAAATTCGAACTTGGAGATTCCCACTCGGGTAAGTACGGAGGTGATGAGACGGACAAGGGTCCCGAGCCCAGACGCCGAATACTATCTGAAGCAAAAAATGACCTAATCCGGTAGGCATGATGCCAGGAATGGCGACGAGCTTTGACACTTTGAAACCCCTGTCCGTCTCATCACCTCCGTCCATACCCGAGCACTATACCGACCCATCCACGCCCTTACGCTGCTCAGCTTTCAGAATACCGATAGATTTAAGCCGAGCTGAAATCACGAAACATCACCCATGCCGTCCCAGCTGTCCTGCATCCTCCCGGCGCTCCGTCCGTAACCCGCAATCCTACTTGTAGGCCAGTAGGGCAGAGTATAGTATATAAAATCCAGCTATCCCGGAAATGATGAGAGCTCAATTCAAGCACCAGTTTCTCCTATAAACGGTTCCTCACAACCTGAGAAAAGTGGGATCGGGAGAAAAAGGGGGGGGTGGTAGTTTACTAGTTTCAGAGTGATTTTCTATGATTCTGATTCCCTGGGTCGATGACTACGGAGGCTTTGCCTAGATACCGGACATTCATGGGATGGGGTAGGTGATGGTATGACCTAAGTAGGGATTTCAAGGGTTGCTGCTATATGATGTGACAGCATATGCCATGAGCATCCTGTTGGCGTGCCCTGGTGTTCCTGTGCTTTACTGTATGGTGGATGCCGTCTAGAGACAACACCTTGTGGGACGCCTCAGGGGACGCAACAGGGGACGCAACAGGGGACGCTTTATCATTCAACCCTGCTGAAAAATGCTGAATTTAGGTTTAAATCACTAGGGTACTTGATATATTCTGACTATTGTGTGGAACATTTTTAGGCTCTGTTTGGCGGGAACGGAACCGTTTGAGACTGTTCAATTTTCTCATACAAAACAACCGTTACGAAACGGAAGGGTAAGAAAATTTGTATGGGGAACGGAACAGAACGGACGCGAACGGTCGTATCCAAACAGACCCTTATGTATATCATATTATGCGTACCCCCTTCAATAATCGCTCTACAAACACCATATCAACAATCTCTCCTCCAAAAGGCTAAATCAATTACAACTTGTATAATGGCATTCCCAAATTCCAGAAAAATGCCATATACACTCCTAAATGTTCTACTGTCTCCCAGACTAGTTATTTCATCCACACTGCATAACTGTGCTTATTGGGAGTGACTACATCTCACAAAGGCTACTGCTCAGCAATTACCAGGTTGGTGGTCATGGTTACAGGTAGATAATATCATATTTAATATACATAATACCATGCTACACAATAGTTGGAATATATCAAGTACCCGAGTGATTTAAACCCAAACCCAGTATTTTTCAGTAGGGTTGAATGTCAAAGCATCTCCCATTGCATCCCCTGAGGTGTCCTACAAGGTGTTGTCTCTAGACGGCATCCACCATACTTCCTAGCTAATTGGTTCCCATTGGCAAAAAAAAAAACATTATATATAGCTACTAGACAAAAGTGTTGGTGATGGCACAATCTGACACATGTCCATGCCCTATCCATGGCAAGAGATCGGATGAAAGTTTAGAATACAATACAAACTAACTATTAAAAAATAAAATAGAAATAAATACAGTGGAGCCCAAAGTCCATCCATCCTACTAGTAGCGAGTATACCAACCCTTCACATCAATTACTGCAGCTAGTACTTGAGAGGGCATTGACTGCCAGAGTTTCTGAAAAAAGCTACTGGGAATTGTCTTCCATACAATAAGAAGAACCTCTACCAGCCAGGCACAAATCCTTTCTGGCCCACCCAGAGTTTCTAAAATGTCCGAGTACTGCTAGTAGAGGTGCTATTTCAATTCAACCCAAGCATGTTCAATTGAGTTGAGGTCCAAAGATAGTAGAAAATGATCTTCGGGATCAATGTTATTTTCACCTAACCAGTAAAGAGTATCATGGGCAGTATGAACACTCGTGTTGTCTTACATAAAGAGAGGATCCCCTACAGTATCAGCAATTTCCTGAAGCACCGGTAGAAGAGCTTGTACTAATAAATCAATATAAACAAATCAATTAACACTACCGGCAAGGAGAAGCACTAAGGACCCTGGTGCCCCCTCCAGAAAGAACCCCAAACCACCAATCCCACCTCATTGTCCTTCTCCCATGGCTTAATACAATCGGTAAGCCACTTGTTCTGTGGAGTCTGAAAAATCCATACTTATTTAGGGTTTGCAGACTTCTGTACAGTACACTCATTACTGTACAGAATTCCTTCAAAATCTTCTGCTAACTGATCTTTTCTAGCCAATGCTCAAGCGAGCCACTTTCTTGCATGTGCAGCAGTTAAGCAAGGCCTGGTGTGAGTAAGCCACTTTTTGATATTGTCTTTCTAAAGAACACGGTCAATTGTGTGAATTGAAACGTATGCAGTATAATGGTTGTGCAGCTTTATTCTCATCCTGGAGTGGTCCTTTTGTGCAGCCCGAACAATGGCGTGGCGGTCTTGCTGACTGAGGATAGCTGGTCATCCTGGCTGGGGGGTATTTTCAATATGTCCATGGTTATAAGCACAGGAAAGAAAATTTTGAACCGTGGACTATGGCTAGTCCACCAGAGTTGCAACAATTGAAATCATTTAGAAGACATAAAAGAATACGATTATCATTCCTTTTTCGGCATCAGTCATCTCCTGCCTACTGGTTTTGGGCGTATATCTAGTGGCTGCTGACTTTCTTTTTGCTGGCATTTCAATTTGAGTTATACTTCACGTATTGACTTGGATAATATCAGTGAGGTGAGCATGATATCCTTTTAATAACATTGCTGACTCAATGCTTACTCAGCATCACCAACACTTTTGTCTAGTGGCTGTACGAATATGTATAGTCTGCTCCCTGAGGTATGGCAAATGAGTATCCAGCGAAACCTTCAAAAGAAAAGATGATAGTAAATTCATATCAGTCACTTGTTTCCTCCTCCCCCTCCGTCAACCTTGCCAAAGATCTATCATATCATACAAGGGCCAAGTCTGGTATCACGATATATCACTCGAGGAAATCACCTTTGTGATGGGATTAGGGTCCAACTCTCAGAAAGGGGGGCAGGGGTATGACACTGGTTTGGTCTATTGGGGCTCGGGTAATAATAATAACGAAGAAAATAAGACTGTAACGGTATGACACAATATAAGCGACGACCGCAACGGTACCCAGATTCTCGCTAGTATATCGATTTTCCAATTCACCTGGGAGAAGAGTCCCAATTCGTACTATAGTACCGGTATCGGTCCAGGAATTTTTACTACATTCGCAAACAAAGAAGGGCCGAAATAACCCAGATTACCGGTATGCGGCCCATTTCTATCATTCCCTTCCGCAGGGGAGAGAATCCAAATCCCCCCCTTCATAAATGCACCCTCACATAGCTCGACTTTGTGCAAAGCTGGACGACCTGCGCTGGTTAACTGGTATCACGGGAATGGGGGGAAGAATGGTGTACATATATGATTGTCGGTGGACGCTTGTAAATTAGTGTATGATACTAATTAAATTTAACATTTCGCTCTCGTTTAGTGGAGGCGATCTTTTCGGTCACGCGCTTGGGGATTGCTGTGTGATGTTGGGGTTCGGCTGGCTTTGGGTGTCATAGACACTTGATGCTGAAGAGCTCTTGAGCCGGTTTTTTATAATCTCTGGTATGATATAAGGGTTGATATCGGAGGTTGGTACGACTATGGCACTACATGTACTCGTAAGGCGAGGGATGTGGAAGCCTTTACCAGTGGTAAACCGGTGGAGGGCTCAGCGAGGCGCGGCACGGCTTGGCTCCCTACTGTCGTTGACCGTAGGCAATCTTTGCTGCCAAATATCGCCAGGCCTCGCTGAGGGTGTCGCCTCGCTGAGCCCTCACACGGTCTAATATACTTACTCCGTTGGGAAGTTCGTTAAAGCTTAATTTATATTTTTAATAATGTGGTGGGATATCACTAGGCTGATGTCGCATTAATAGATCCTGTCATAACTGAAGTGGACATCTGTGATCATCGTCATCACATACCATACTCGCTTCGCTAAGAGCTGATTTGAGTATCCCCATAGCCTCTCCGATACACCTCCCACCATCAAGAAACCTCTCCAACCTCGCTACAGACTTACTCACAGACAATCACTCACTCTTTCACCCAACGCCAAGCCAGTGTAACCCCCCCCCCTGCTCTCACGGTGATAATTTATTGGTAACCTAAAGCCCCCACAAACGCACAACCACATCATGCATTAATACGAGCACACGAGGGTCGTTAGCTGTTCAATAAAGGGTCCAAACACGCTTCAAAGCGCTCCACCACGATCGACCCTATCGAAACCGTCCGTTCATCAAAACTTTCCGGTCAACACGCGACCGAATGGGGAATACCGTGCGGGCACAAGAGCGGTTGGGGACTGGGTGTAACAGTTATCGCGGCATCACCCCCACGAATCGGCTGTTGATTGACTCATGGGCCAACCGCGTTGCTACTGTACTTAATCGTGTCATTCCTCTCTACCCCGGCACAAGGAAAGGAAAGGAGGAGAGGAGATAGTGCAAAGATGCCCGCGATCCGACGAGAAAAGACCAATTCCGCTGCCCCCAGGGCGTTCCAGGACCGACTGGAGTCCTTTGCCTTCTCGTCCGTTTCGACCCGTACACGGCCCACGAATCGGGCCTCGGCCTCGAAGTCGAATACACCGCCGGCCACGGACCAACAACCCGAAGAGGTGCCCTCCCCTGCGAAACCCGACTCCACGTCCATAACGACGGTGACAAAGACGAGAGTCCGCGCCACGACCAAGCGGAAGGCTAGACCAGCGGCCCGCAGCGGAAAGCAGAAATCCACTTATGCCCCGCCCGAGAAATACGCTCACCTGGGCGGCGTGCAGGATGCCTTCTCCCCCAATCTCCTGAGCGTCTTCATCGGCCTGAACCCGGGGATCACGACAGCCACGGTTGGACACGCATACTCCGCGCCGTCAAATCACTTTTGGAAACTCCTGCACAGCAGTGGACTAACGCCGGACCGTGTCTGCCCCTCGACGGAAGACATACACCTACCGCGGAAGTACTCACTCGGCAACACGAATCTCGTCGCACGCGCCACCCTGAACCAAGCCGAGCTGTCGAAGGACGAGATGGATGGCAGGGTGGAGCTCACGGAAGAGAAGATCAGGAGGTGGAAGCCGGAGAGCGTGTGCATCGTCGGAAAAGGCATCTGGGAGAGCATCTACCGCGCGAAGAATAACGGCGCCAAGATTCCCAAGGACAAGTTTGTCTGGGGGTGGCAGAGCGATGAGAATAGGTTTGGCGTGGATGCAGAGGAGGGATATCCCGGCGCTAGGGTCTTTGTCGTGCCGAGCACCAGTGGACTGGTAGCCGGGTATTCAATGCAGTTCAAGAAGGATATATGGAAAGTGCTCGGCGACTGGGTGCAAATGAGGAGGAAGGAGAGGGGCGAGACGGCGCCGAGGCAGGATGCGGATAATTTGGTGGAGGTGGGGGCAAGTTCAGGCATTTGAGTTAAAAAGTAGTCTACCCAGTTCAGAAAAACATTTACCGGTATAATTATCCCCCAATTAACACCGATCGTATTTTCACCTCCAAAAACCAGGTGGGGGAAGAATTCACCCTAGCCGAGTATTGTACGAGTAGAACTAACGATACACTACTCGTACTGTTACAAAGATGGAACACCCCACACTTGGATCAACCGCCCGTCCGGGATAACCTACGATACAGCGCGATACTCAACCTCCCCCCCCCTCGCAGTGACCGTCCGAAAGCGAGTGACGCACTATGAAACCGTCCATTAGATGGGTAAGAGTGAAAGAAGGTATTTTGAGTCTGTACATTCACTCGTATGATACCGATAGAAACACAAATATTTGTAAAAGGTGCCGCCGTATGGGCCTGAAGAAGCTCAAGAGAAGCTTGGACAAGTGGAACAAGTATCATAATGAAAATCAAGTTTTGGAACATTACGGAAAAGGGAAAAAAATTATTAAGAAATTGAGGACCTGTTCGGCGTGTATGTTACCGATGAAGAGATATGGTATTGCGTGGATGTGGCTTACAGGTTAAAACAAAATATGATACCAGGGCTAGGGTATTTATTCATTTTCAAAAATGGGTGTATTGAAATACTAGTGTTAAAATATATATTCAAAATAGTATTTAAATTCCTTTGCAGCCAGCCCTAATAGCAGTATACTAAACATAGCTACTATAGTTCCTGCAATGGCATGTGTAATTCTATTTATACCACTTTCCTAAAAGACATGATATAGTAGGTATAATACTTGTATATAAATACTAATAGTTCCTATTAACAATACTAACTTGAATATAATCTACTAATGTATATAATCACTTATCACTTATAGTAGTAGTTAATAAGTACTTATCGGTAAAGTAATGTCTTAGTAAATATTTAAAGCATGTGATTCAAAAACAATACCAGTGTTCTATCAAAAATACAGTCATACCCTACTATTATAGACTCTTCAAGTTTTGTAGTAGAAAAACTACTGTTATAAACAAATTGTAAAGAAGCTTGGATTCCTTATGTAAAATTCCCAACTATAATAAATTATCCAAGATAGTAAATTCAAACCTATTTTTCTGATCTTTACCCTGCAGACTTTATATAAATTTAATCTACTATAATAATAGACAAGTAACTAATAAAGGCAAACTTACCATACCTGATCAAAGCCATAATCATATTGTAAGAGATAAATATTTAGGTCTTGGGAGCTACATAAATAGAAGTAAAAGATTAGAATAATCTTAACTATCTTTATACATGTAAGAACTGCTACAACCAGGTTCTTCTAGTATTTCTTCAACTTCACTAACACTATTATCCTCTTTATCTTCTACTTCTGAGTTGCTTGCTGTAGTGGTTACTAGTTTGTTGACTCTCAATTCGCTTATATTTCTTTTCTTATAGTCCTTCAAGTAGTATTAACTGACTAACTCTCAATTAGAGAAAGAATTGTACTATAAAAAAGACAATAACAACTTAAAAAAAAAGTGTGTTTGGTTACATGGAAAAAAGCTACACAGACTGAGCATAACTCCTTACTAAAATGAGATAGAAGTTTATATAAAAGAAAGGTTACTAGCACTATTTAATCCTACTGGTGTAAAAGAAAAATGGTAAAACCCATAATTGTTATTAACTAACAAGTAAGATTAGGAAAAATATATGTAGAGTAGGATACTATGTACAAAAGTAGGCTCTACAAGTCATACCATTTTTAAGTTGAAAAGTTACATTGAGCCACAGGATTATAATATAATACCACAAAGCTTTATTGAGCTGTTGAGCGCTCAGCAGAGTGCCTTCCCTCCCCTCCCAAAGGGAGGCAAGCCCACAAGCGTGAGCGGGTTCGTGGTGCTCAAGCCACAGCATCGGCAGGAGTAAGCGCAACACAATATTTTTTTGGACATTATAAAAAAGAGCTAATCTGGTTCATGCCACCCTCGGCCAAACATCAAAAACATAAATATAGGTAGGGAGGAAAAACGCCATCACGCACACAGCACCCCGCAAGAAAACCTAACACAACTTACCGCAAAATCTACCATACGTAGTACCGGTCATATCAGATCATATCATACCAGCTATGAATGCTCCAAGGGAAAAAAAGAGAGAACGCCTTAAATCCACCCCTCCGCCGCCCAGCAAGTACACAAGACAAGACAAGAGAAGGCAAGCCAAGAAAAGACAAAAAGGGAAGTGTGCCCCGCTCTAAGGATAGAAAAACATCATTTCGTCCATTCCATCAATGGCAAATTTGTAGCAAGCCAACCCAACCCAACTCCAAATAATGTTTCTCGCGTTTATGAACTATTGTATAAGTAGTAGAAATCCGGGTCCCACGGGAAATGAAAAATGGAAAAATAGGAAAGAGAAAGAGTTGTGAAGATAAGGTGTGAAAAGGCGTGTATAGCATGACAAATGGAAAGTTGGGAATGAAAGGAAAAATGCAAAGAAAAAAAAGAAACCCCAAAGAAAAAAGAGGATTAGTAAATGCGATAGTTTTTTGTGCCTTCTTTTCCTTCTCCATCCTCCCCCCACCCAAGTGTCGTATCAATTTTTTTAGTGGGTTTCGATTCCCTAGACATAATCAATCAGCCCTCCTCCCACACACACACCCAACTCTACCCGGGAGGTTACTCACGAAAAGGAATCCAAGGTCCTTAGTGCTAAGCCTTCCAATGCCCTTTGATGCCTTCTCATCAAGCGCTCCTTCAATCAACTTCCTCTTCTCCTCCTGTAGTGCAAGAACTCTATCTTCGACCGTACCGGCGACGATAAGCCTATGGACTTGCACCTTGCGTTGTTGTCCAATCCGGTGAGCACGATCAATGGCTTGTTTCTCGATGAAGGGGTTGTAAAATGGGTCGAGAATAACAACCTGGGAAGCGGCAACGAGATTGAGACCCGAGTTGCCCGCCTTGAGACTAACGAGAATGATGTTCACGTTTGGGTCATCGGTGAATTCGGTGAGGGCTTCGTTGCGCGCGGTAGAAGTCATGCCTCCGTCGTAGCGGCGATAGGTCCAGCCCTTTTGGTGGATCGGGATCTCGATCAAGTCTAGAAGGGAGGTGAACTGAGAAAATACAATCGTCTTCTCGACCCCATCATCATTATTGCGGATGGTCTGGAGGATTTCCATGCACTTGTCGACTTTGGCACTGCTAATCCAGCGTTTTTGAAGATGCTTCATATCTATTCGCCCAAACACGTCAGTCACGTGCTACCACTAACAGGCAAAAGATGGGAGGAAACGTACATTGCCTCTTGCTCTTAGCATTGCGCATAGCATCCTTGCGCACTTCGGCCAAAGTCCTTGGACGGCTCTTCTCCTTTGCCTTCCCCTTCCCCTTAACATCCTTCTTCTTCTTTGGCGCAGCAGGTTTTCGCGCAGATGCCTGGCACCCATCCTCGGAAGCACTTCCAGCTGCACTGCCCTCGCCCTGCTCTTCACTATCTACCTCTTCTTCCTCATCATTGACGATAAAGCCCTCCAAATCACTCCCAGTGTCGTCGTCATCATAATCACTATCCTCGGAAGAATCCGTGTCATAAATGAGATTATCATCGTACTCCTCTTTGGGTTCCTCGGGCGCGGCTTCCTCCCCCTCGGACATATGGACTTTCTGGAAGGTTCTGAGATCGATAACCTTATTCGGTTGGTAGGCTCCACGACATCCAGGGCACCTAGCCCCGCCTTCCTCGTTCCCAGAAGCGATTGCGGCTGCGGCGTGCTGAGTATTCAGCTGCAGCAGACATTCGGAACAGAACTGGTGACCGCAGGGGATGACGATAGATGGATTATCCGCAGCGTCCAAGCAAATGGGACACTCGAAAGCTTCAGGATCCTTGAGCCGAGCAACAGCCTCGGGCGAAAGGGTCTTGGCCAGTTCAATCATCTGCTCGTCAAACGGCTTCTTAGCATCTGCCATCTCAATGTCGCGGATGAGATGTGGATGGCAACACGCTTGTCTTAGGCGAAGCAGGAGGACCAGGATATTGCTATAGTTCCTCCCGACAGTTCCCGCCCTGAGGTACTTGTTATATAAAATTTTGGACTTGTCCTGGAGAGCCTGATAAAACTGCTGCTCGTCGGGTGACAAAACAGCATAAACCATCTCAATATTCTTATCGGGAAGGGTAAGTATGGGTTTCCCATCAATAGTCGAATCCTTGGTCCGTCGTAGTAGTACAGCCTTCATAAGTGCCTGAAGCTTAAGTAGCGCACTACTAACCGCACGTTCACTCTTACTCTTGAGTGGGCGAGAGAACGTCTACAATTCGTCAGCAAATGATAGGTAACTGCTAGGAGGGCAACAAAAAAAAACATACACTCGAAAACTCAGGCCAGGAACTGTAGGGCTCAATCCTCAAAAAGCGCAAGAGCGAAAACATCCTGAAAACCCATCTCCTTGTCAGCCACACAACACAGCCCACCACTGCGTAGAAATCAGGGCGCACTCACTCATCGCAGCTGTTCTGCATAGGCGTGCCCGACAAACAAAGCCTGAACTTAGCCTTTAGTGCGCAGCAACCCTTAGCAGACTGAGTATCCTTGTTCTTGATACACTGTGCTTCGTCAATGATAACCCTATACCACTCGCACTGATCTCCGACGAAGAAGAAATTAGCCTTCTTGATGGCCTCCTGATCCTCACTCTCTAACAAAGCCTGCTTCTTTTTGTACTCGGTTCCGATAGTCCCAAAGGTAGTAAGGACAACTAACCACTCACAAGGTCAGTCAAGTCAGTCAACTAATGGATGAAGCTTTCTGAGCTTCTTCTAGAAACTTCCAACAACAGACGGGAAAACAAGAAAACACACCATCATAATCCTTCAAGCCCGCAAAGTTCTTACACCTCTTCTGATTCCCGTGGTGGATGATGACCTTCAAACGGTGCGGCGCCTTGAGTTTCTTTTCTATCTCCCGTTCCCATTGCTTTAGGAGAGCGATCGGCGCAACGATAAGAGTGGTCTTCCTGCTTGGATCCTTCGACTTTCTCGAGACAATGAGCGCAAGAGCCTGAATAGTCTTTCCTAGGCCCATATCATCCGCAAGAATGCCCCCCTTGTTGGACCCATCCTCCATACTCTTCAACCACGCCAAGCCTAGCTTCTGATGTTCCATGAGGGGGTAGGTCATATCGTCTGGCGTCCCCTCCCTATTCTCCGGAGGAATCTCCATATCCGGCCGAATATTCGCCATCAATGTCTTCAGTTGTTCCGAGGTCTTGGTGGGGTCGTTACGGATGTGGTTGATGTAATTCCCGATCTCGGCGCGATAGGTGCTGGGCCAGCCATCGTTCAGCGGATTGCCATCCCGGTCGACGATAGAACCGTAAGCACTGGAATCAAATGCCTGGGACATTTGGCCGCCATCGTCGTTCGAAGCGGTTGCGGGATCGGGTATCTGTGACATTTGATTGCTACCGTTGTTCGGAACAATCATGGAATCATCGAAGTTTGTATTGTTGTTGCTATTATTATTACTCCATCCATCGGTTCCGGCCAGGTTGTCGTAGTTTGAAAAGTCGAAAGGTCGCATAGAGCTATCACGGGAATCCTGTCCCGGCAACACCGAGCCCAGACTTGATTGACTAGCAGCTGCCTCAGATCCCTCATCATCAGAGTCCAGGAGGTCGATAATTTCGCTCGCAGGAACGGGCCCGATAGCGTTGTTCGTAGGAACAGGGAACCGTAGGGGAGCTAAAGTATGGGACGCATTCCGGGGGGTGGGATCGTACTGGTGTAGGTGTGGCTGTAAAGAAAACATGCTCACCGGGGGTCTTGGTAAAGTCCCAAATCCGGAACCCAAAGACATGGTCCCATCCAAATAACCCGAATCCGGATAGACATATCCGTCGTCATCATATCCGGCAAGATAGCTACTACTACTACTACTGGCACCATTACTAGAACCAGCGTGTCGAAGCGTCGGCCTAGGATACTCTTCGTGACGCCTATTACTAATCACATTAGAAATACAGCGGCCCCCATGCTCTGAAAAACCCACCTCGGATGTAGATTTCCACCAGAATAATTCGCATCGGGATTAAACTGGCGCATTCCCGGAAGCCCGGAGGAGTTTATACTAGGCAGTAGACTCCGATCCGAGCTTCCACCACCGTTATTGAAGCTCATACCATTACCGACTCTCGGACCATTCAACTCAGTACGCAGACTACGGGCCGGCTCTCCGTCGCTATTTTAATGTCAGAATCATGCCTCAGGTAGCACACAATGGAAGGAGACGGGAAAAGGAAAGAAGAAAAAGAAAAAAAAAAGCAAAAAAGAAAAGAAAAGAAAAGAAAACTGCCAGAAGGTTCGCATAACAAGGGAGAAGGATATTAATAGACAAGGCTACAGCAGAGAGGAGCATGAAAGCCCCCTCTCGCCTCTGCCAAAACTTCTGGAAACACCACCAAGAAAAATAAAGTCGAGGGGAGAAAAAAATAACCAAAACGTTCTCAAAACTGTGAGAAACTACTTGTTTTTGTTTTTGTTTTTTTTTCACCTTTTTCCCACCAAACAAAAATAGCAGAGGAAAGAGGATCATAAAAATTAAAGAAAAGTGACAAACCTTATCCCGGCATCCTGACTCAACAGACCGTGTCCATCATCAGCATAGTCCATGGCCGGCAGCGACGAAAGAGGACTAGGAGTCGTGCATCGGGATTTTGTCACTGGTGAATCTTGGAGGAAATGATCGAAATCGTCCCGAGGGCGCTTTATCGGGACGGTGCTACTGCCGCCGGTATTAACACCGCTACCGCTACTGCTACTGCTATCACCGCCGCGCGGAGCTCCGAGTGTGGTAAAAGTCCAACCAGGGGCCGTTGCCAACGACATGTTAGGATTATTATTGTTGGTTGACATAGCGTTGGGCTCCTCCTGATGCTGTCGTGATGGTAGTGCCTGTGATATTAGGGACTCGACCGAGATGATCTCGTTCAGAAGCCCGCCGCGTTTGTTCCGGTCAAACGGCGAGGTTTCCACCCTCCGGAGAATGCTCTTTAGTGCTTGTACGTGTGCTTGAAGAGTTTCCACGGGGATCTCGTTGAGCTCCATACACCACAAAGCGTATACGGCCTCGAGGTAGGAGGACGAGGACTAGGTGCGGGCGAGGGAAAGTGTAAGGCTGCGGGTTTCGTGATGTGGCAATGCGAAGGGGATGATTGTCTAAAAGGTTAGGTTGAATGTGGGATCTAAGGGAGGAGAAGGGAGAAAGGGAGGAAGAAGAAAAATTGGTTCGATCGTATGAAGTGTAGGAGGGAGGGAAGGCTGCGCAGAAAAACGAAAACGAACACACTGGGCTGAAGTGTGCGTGGACCAACCAGAATCGGCAGTGTTGAAGGTAGTTGTTGGGCAGAGGAATGTTTACTGCTGCAGGTTGTGGAAGGGTAGGTAGCTTAGCTGGCCGACTGGACTGGTTGGCGGTGGGGGACAGCAGGCGCTACCAATTATTTGTGCGAAGTGTGTGCTAAGCCAGGAGAGAGGTAGTGGGTTGGGAAGGGCTAACGAGAGTCTTCCCAGGGTCAAAGGGGGAGGTGTGGGGAGGCGAGAGTTGACGCGGACTGGTTCCAGAAAGAGAAGCAGAGTTAGCAAATTTGACCTTGGGCAGAGACGACAAGCAAACTGAGTAAGAAGGGGGGGGAACGAGAAAGTGAGAGTGAGGGAAAGGTGGGAAAGTAAGACGCGGAGGAAATGCAGAGAAGATACACTTTTTTTTTTTTTCCTTTTCTTTTTTCCCTCTTTCCTTTTTCCTTTTCCCCTCTGATTCACAGGGAAAGCGCGAGTACAGAGGAGGAGGAAGATGAAGACGAAGAGAGGAAGGGGAAGGGGAAGGGGAAGGGGAGGGGGAAGAGGAAGAGGAAGAGGAAGAGGAGGGGGGAAGAGGCAGGTAGGTACAGACAGAGCGGTATGATACAGAAGTTAAGAGGGAGTGAAGGAAACGACTCGTACCCTAGGACACAGAAGGCAAAACGCGAAGGAGAACGAATAGGATACTGCGAGCGGCAAAGCAGACCAAATTCTCCGAACTAGACCCTCTCAATAAATCAATCAATCAGGCAGTGCATATAATGTGTAAAGATTACAGTATGCTATTAGGTAGCGGAAGCAACGACGACAGCGAAGGCGAAAACTATCTTGAATAAGAGTGGGAGGTTCGAGATCAGCTAATAATAAATGAAAACTGGGAATGGGACTAATGGTAGTTAGTAGCAGCAGTAGTAAGAGTGGTAGCAATAGCAACAGCAGTAGTAGCAGTAGTAGTAGTAAGAGTAATAGTAGTAGTAGTAATAGTAGTAGTAATAATGGTAGTGGTGTCGGTAATGGCGGTGGTTAGCTAGTGCAGGTACCAGTTCAGTTACTATGCGAGCGACATACAAATAGATCCGGCACCGAAATGGAAATGAAAAAAATCCGGGTGACGGAAGTTAGACTCGAGTCTCCCTTGCATGTGTTAGATGGGGGGAAGGGAGGGGGGATGGGAAAGAGGAAGGAGAGGAGGAAGAGGCATGCCAGTGTGCACAAGTGAAGTAAAGTGAGGCTGCCAATTAACGGAGCTTAAAGAGGCAACAGCAATGCCTACCAATGGAACACGGTGGGTGGGTGTGTGCAGTGGGGGGAGGGAGTGAGCAGAGAAGGCTCA